AACCTGTAGTAATAACTCTTACATGTTTACGAGACCAACCAGTGATACTAGTTCGACCGTAACGGTGTTCGGTTGCAATTGACTTTCGTGCTTTGCTACATTTTTGAGATTTGGACAAGTAATAATAGAAAATAAGTTACTATATTTTGATGCAATGCATAAATCATATATCAATTAATAAAAATTATAATTTTACTTTCCCATCACTCCCCGACTCATTCATAGCAATAAATTGATCGCACAATTGACCACATAAATCATCACTAATAAATTCCTCCGGACGAGTTCGTCTTCCAGTTTCAGGGTCCGACATGCGATCGAAATGTTCCTTTAAAACCCTAAACTTGAAGTCCTTTCAACGAGCATTTGCAGTCTGATTGAACCACTTCCTGGTAGCATCATTATCCGGAAGATTATATTTATCTCAAGAAACATAAAAATAACATTTGCTAATTTGAAACAGTAATTTTGTCCATTGTTATACAAGAATTTTAATACCGCGTACCTTGAACCGTGCCTAAAATACATCTACACGTCCATCTTTTTTGTGTTTGGGCCATGAAATATATGGATTAAAGATGTCATGATATGCAACATGTTTAGTAAGCTCATTTACCAATTCTGTCCTCCGAGGATCAAATGGAATACTCCTATTATCAAACTCCATAATAGTGGCCTTTCTCCGATATCGCAAGCACCCAACTAGATCACCTGAAAATGAAATAAAATCTCATTAAATTCAACATGCATAAATATGAATTAAATAATCAACATATAATTATGGTAATATTTCAGAACATTTATAATGAAAAAATACCGATCCATGACATCTATAGTATTTATGCCACTATTTATCAAAAGTATCTCATAACACTCTTGTTCAACTTCAGCAGTAGGATCATCTGGTTTTAAAGTAAAGTTGTCCGTTGGTTTAATTACAATAGGGATCACTCATGGATAATCACGTGGATCTTCAAGTCTAGAAACTCTAGACAACCATTTTGAAATGCTTCCAACCGATGATCATCTAGCAAAACCCAACACCTATGCTTCGTCATTTTTATTTAGAAAATATATGCAGCTGAAGAACATAGAAGGTAATGAGAGAGTTAAAAAATATATTTGTCTCTCTTGGAATAATTATGTCCAAAATGTCACATAAGCACAATTATAACTTTTCATTATTGTCTTGAGTGATTCAGTAGCAATTTTGCTAAAAAAATGGCTAATTACTTTGATTATTAACCGTGCAACGTTTTTCAGTTGGCGTTATTTAGTCAAGCCGTTGGAATGCTAATGCTGATAAAAGTGATTACTTATGGTATATATTATAACAATAATCTCACAAAAAACTTGCAGGTCAAAGAGAATAATCTCACAAAAAAATCACAAAGATTATTGAAGCTTTTGTACATTATATATATATATATATATATATATATATATATATATATATATATATATATATATTTATTGTGCAGGGAGTGGAAAAGGTAGTGATGAAAACACTATTGTATCGATTGAGGTTCCTGTGAGCCTTGAGGCCCTTGACCCACAAAACACGCACCTCCCCGTTAATTCCCACTTCAATCAAATGGCTATTTATTCCAATTTCAACTATAGAAACTTTTATTACACATATGTGACATCAATTATGCTGAAGCAATATCGAAACATCAAAAAATAAGGATTCCAGTTAGCGGAAGTAAGGAATAATGATCCCATAGATATAAAGAGTTAGAAACGATTATTATCAAAGTGGAATATTGACCACATGGTTATAAATAACCAGAAACCAATATTATTTCATAAAAGATATAGATGAACTCAATCCACTAAGTTTGTCTAGATTTAGCCGAACTCGTCTTTTTTTTTTTTTTTGGAGTTCGGCTAGATCTAGCCTAACTCAGTGTATTGAGTTCGGTTAGATATAGTCGAACTCAATACACCAAGTTCAGTGATATGAAGCTGAACTCAAAGGGTTAAGTTCGACTTGCTTCGGTTGAACTGATCCATTATATTTAATATTTTTTATTCTAAAATTTAGTAATTAATTGTTTGGCATATTGTATAAATTAACAAAAATGGTGAGTTTTATTGAGATATGGTTTAAATATGATATTGTGTAAATACCTAAGATTATATTATACGTATATTAGGTGATTAATTTACATAGGATTCTTCTAGCTATTGTAGGAGCATTAGGTGTTTAGGGTTTC